GGAGTTTGAGGTTGCTGTGAGCTAGGCTGACGCCACGGCACTCACTCTAGCCCAGGCAAAAAGAGTGAGACTCTGTCTCAAAAAAAAAAAAAAAAAAAAGGCTTTGCGTTCAACTCCACCCCTTCTCACCCCAGATTCTCATGATTCATAGCTTTCTTTCAACTCAGTTGTTTCCTTAGGTATTTAACTTTGTGTTTTTAACAAGCAAGAGCATCTCCATATAGACTGAAAAGGTAACTGATGAAATTCAATATCTATTATTTATTTTTTAAAAACATGAAATATAAATTGATGGATTATTAATATAACATGTTTTTCTCAGTTCAAAAGCCAGCATTTTGCTTAATGGGGAGACAGTAGAAGCTTTCTAGTTAAAATGAAGGTGAGGATATCTATTATTATATACATCTATTACTATATACCTTACTATTAAGTAATATTTTATTAGTGGTTTTCAGCATGGAGGAATAACAAGCCCATATTAGAAACAAAAGAAACAACAAGCATAAACATTAGATAAGACATAAAATTATCATTTGCAATTGACATGTCTATATACCTGAAAACCCAAAAGAACCTATTAAAACTATTATAAACATTAAGAATGTATGGTTAATTTGGCTGGGTTGAAAATTAAAATACAGAAATCACTAGTTTTCTAAGGAGAGACAAAGCTTTGTGCTGGCTGACCCTGGGGGTTCTTTCTTAAGTAGCATAGTATGGCTCCCGACTGAAAACAATGTTGATATGCAAACTTCCCAGTTAATTTATACCCAAGAATAGGATACTACTTTTCCTAGCAGGGTTGTAACTCTGATAGCAAAGCTTACTACAGTCTTTAGAATGGGTCGAGTGAATCCTAAAATGGAAGACACCCCCCCCCAATTAAAATAGTAACAAAAGAGGTAATATACCTAGGAGCAAACTTGATAGAAAGTGGGTAAAATATATATGAAGAAATCCTTAAAATGCTAATAAGACAAAAGAACAATTAAATAGAATGGTCTGCCAGGTTTTTAAATAGGAAAATCCATCATAAAAAGGCCAATTCTCCATGAGAATTGTGTGCTATAATACAAATAGACACAAAATTGGTAAATTTCTACTACTTTGTTCATCTTCCCCTATTTCCCTCTACAACCTGGTTTTTGTCAAGCATATTGTTTTTTACTGTTTAATTGTGTTTGTGTGTGTATTTTTTTACTTGATTTATCAATTTCAAATGATCTCTTTGAACTGCCAATTATAAAAGATAAGCAAATCAGTCTGAGAATAATGGTGAGCATGGTAAAATAATAATAGCTAACACTGAGTATTTATCATGTGCCAGGTACTATTCCAAGCACTTTTTATGTATATATTAATAGTTTTAATCCTCAACAACTCCGACATAGACACAGACATAGATAACATAAGTACTAAAACTATCTGCATTTTAAGATGAAGACAATTACAATTAATGTGTTGCCACTTTCACTTTCTTTCCCGAACTTTTATTAGTTTTATCACTGCTTCATGTAGCTTCAGATCCCTTCTTTGTTATCTTCCTGTCTTCTACTGGACAGCCCTCCTCACATTTAATTTAGGGTTATAACTGTCACTTGGTTTTGTAACAGAAGGAGTTTGTATTTCTCATCATGGCTCTGTAATGGTTGCTAAGGGAACAATGAGGAACTGTCATGCTGCCATTTTAAACCTGGAAGTCTGAGGATCTTTTTCATGTTTTTATCAACAGAATGATATGACAACTGTACGACTACGATGGGGAGATATACTTATGCCATTGCTTAAAAAATACAAACTAAACATCACATGGGGAGATCAAGATCTATTAAATATCATATTTTTTCATAATCCAGGTAATTATGTAAATTTTTTTTATTTGCATTATTGTAAAAATAATCACAGATAATTAGTTTAAAAGGAAGAAATGAATTTATTTGATTTTGGCTTATATTATGGTTATCACTATGTCTAACACAGAGTAAAACTTTTCTTGAATGTTGATTTCACTGGGAGAGAGATAAATGCCAAACATTTTTTACTGTTTTAAATCTTATCTGAAGAGCTGTATTTTTAAACTAAAATTTCTACAGAATGGTAAATTTACAGAATTAGGTATGTTTGCTTTATCGTTTGGTCTTTCTTCATGTAGATAGCCTTTTTGTTTTTCCGTGTCAATGGAATTATCGACCGGATCATTGTATATATGGAAGCAATTGCCAAGAAGCAGAAGAAGAAGGAATCTTTATTCTTCATGGGAACAGAGGTGTTTATCATGATGATAAGCAACCAGCGTTTAGAGCTGTTTATGAAGCACTGAGAAATGTAAGATTTGCTTTTTTTTAAAAAAACTTTTTATTTGAAAATACTTTCAAGCTTATCTTGAGTTCGCAAGAGTAGTACAAAGAATTTCCATACATCCTTTACTCAGTACCATACATCTGGTACAATAGGTCCAGTTGTTTAATACATTAACTGATGTTAATACATCAGTTATTGACATTTTGCACTATTTGCTTTGTCGTTGGTTCTTTCTATATACATTGTTTTTTTTCTGAACCGGTTAAGTATAAGTTGCATGTATCAAGCTTTTGTAACTCTAAAAACTTTGGTGTTTTTTACTAAGAGTAAGGGGATTCTCTTATTAACTACAGTACAGATATCAAGCTTAGAAAATTTAACGCTGATACTATACTTCAGTCTATCTTCCATGTGTCTTTACTCTCCTTTGATGTAATTTCTCAGTCTGTCTTTTATGACATTGGCATTTTTGGACAGTAGACCCCCATATCCCTTCTTTTATTAGAATATTCTTCATGTTGGCTTGTCTGATATTTCCTTTTGATTAGGTTTAGGATATACACACCTGGTCAGAATACTGTATAAGTGGTGGTATGTCCTTCTTGGGCTGTCACAGTCACCATTGTCTCTCTGCCCCCATGGCTGATGTTGATTTTGATCACTTAGTCAAAATGTCCAGCTTTTCCTTGGTGTAGTTATTTTTCCTCTTATAAGCAGTCTATAAAAAGAATCTTTAAAATCATGGAAATACTCTGCTTCTCAACAAAATTTCCCCACTAGATTTAGCATCCATTGTTGGTTCTTGCTCAAACCGTCTTTACTATGGTATTTACAAATTGATGATTGTCCAACTCTAGCATTCCTTCCACACACATTATTTGGCACTCAGCATTCTGCTGTAAGGAAGAGCCCTCTCTTTTGCCCATTCATTGATCTGTGTATAATCAGTATAAACTGTTTGTTGAACTTTTTCCCCCAGTGACTTACCATACATATATAATACATTATAATACATTATTCTCTTCTTCCTCCCCACCTTTCCAGACTAAGTCTCGCTCTGTCACACAGGCTAGAACGCAGTGGCATAGTCATGGCTCACTGCAACTTCAAACTCCTGGGCTCAAGCGATCCTCCTGCCTCAGCCTCCAGAGTAGCTGGGACTATAGGCGTGTGCCACCACACCCAGCTAATTTTTAAAATTTTTTTTTTGTAGAGACCCGGGGTCTTACTCTTGTTCAGGCTGCTCTCAAACTCCTGGCCTCAAGCAGTCCTCTGTGCCTCAGCCTCCCATGGTGCTAGGATTACAGGCGTGAGCCACTGTGCTAGGCCCATTATTCCCCTCTAATTATGTTGATGCTGTGGTTGTTCTAGATTTGGCCACTGGGAGCCCCTTTGTTTACTTCTTGTGCCCTTTTGACTGTCCTTATCATTTTTTTGAGTACTTCCTTATTTTCTGGCCTAACAAAATATTCCAAGTTTATCTTACAGTTTCCCTGCCCTAGCCCTGAAATTAGTCATCTGTCAAAGGAGCTCTGGTTCCCTTTAGTAGGCTCTGGATGTTAGGAATGTTTTTTGCTACAGGAGTCTCTTTGCTTCTAAGCCTTTTGAGTGACACAGCTAGGAAGTATAAGTGTGTGTGTAAACACACGAAATCATGTGTTTATACTTGATGTCTCCAATTGCAGCCTGTTCCCCCAAGGCTCTTCCTTGCCTTCTCCTACTCTACATTTTATCTTCTTTTTCTACAGTTAGAATTCTAACTCCTGATGTCAATACATTTCCTCATTTGCTTAATCCTATAATACATGTAAAACAATTTCAGAAATGCTCCATTCATACCATTACCTCCCCTCGCCCACCCAAAACCTACTAAAAAGAGTTCAGGATTTGTTCCCAGTCCTTCCTCCTCCCCCTTGGCCCCAGAAGAGGGTGTGTACTCAATACTGTGTTCAGAAGTTACTTGGATTTGTTCTTTTTTCCCTCCTTCTCAGTGTGGTTATTTATTTATTTGAAATACATTTGGGTACATTTATTTCAATATGCCTTCAGTTTTAGGTTTTTTTTTTTTTTTTTTTTAGGTTTTTTTTTTTTTTTTTTGCTCTCCTTGTTGATATAATTTATTTGTTTAATATGTGGAATATTAATATACTTCAAAGAGTCAAAACTATATAAGGATTTACTCAGAGGTTATTACTTCTTCCCTTTTTTCCCTTTCACTCCAATCCCCCACACCCATACATTACTAATTTCATTGTTTTCTGGTTTGTCCTTCCTTCTTTTCTTTTTGTAAGATGAGCAGATGTATGTTTTATAATTTTCCTTTTCTTCCAGAAAAATTAGCACACTGTATGTATGCATTTTTTGTTTGCTTTTTTCACTTAAAATATTCTGGAAATCCATGCATTTGGATATCTTTCTCATTTTTTTTTTTTTTTAAAGCTATATGGTGCTCCATTTTTTATGTATGTACCAGAGTTTATCCAGCTAATATCTGTGTTTGAACATTTTGGTAGTTTCCAATAGTTTGAATTATAATTAATGCAACACTGCATGGCCTTGCTGTATGTATGTTTGTATTGTTGGGAGGTGGATCTTCAGAGTAAATTCTTGGAAGTGGGATTATTGGATTGAAGTTACTGCCTGTTTCCCCTCCATAGGGATTGTTTGCATTCCTGCCAACAGTTTATGAGACAGCTTGTTCCCCACATCTTCATCAACACAGTGTATTATCAAGCTTTTAAAATTTTATCATTCTAATGGGTTAGAAATGGAATATTAGTGGAGTTTTAATTTGCATTTCTCTTGTTATGAGTGAAGTTGAACATCTTTTTATATATTTAAGAACCATTTTTATATTTTTTTGGAGGGTGAGTTTTCTTTTGAGTCTTTCACCTATGAATAGATTTTTAAAAAAATAACTTTATCAAGACATAATATATATGCGATGAAGTTCACCCATTTAAAGTATATAATTCAGTAGTTTTTAGCATGTTGGCAGAGTTGTGCAGACATAACCATGAGGAAGTTTTGGTCTTCCTTCTCCCCCTCCTCCTCTTAATTATTAAAAATTGTTTGTATATTAAGGATATTAGTCTTTTATCTGTGACATATATTGTGAATATTTTCTTTCTATTTGACTTTGTTTATGGCAGTTTATGCCATTTAGAGTTTGTTTTAAAAATTTTCATAATCAAGTTTATTAACCCTTTTTTTTTTTTTAAGTCATAATTAGGAAGCCTTTTCCTATCTATGCTCAGGTTATAGAACTGGTCATAGGGGAATTCACCCACATGCTGTTTTACTTATTACATTGAGACCCTTTGCTTTATTTGGAATTTACTCTTTTGTATTAGATAAGGAATGGATATTATTTGATTCTTTTCCAAATGGTTATCCTGTTGTCTCAACACCATTTATTTAAAGTCTGTGTTTAACCCAAAGACTTAAGATATGGACTTTATCATATACCAAAATTCCATTTGTAATGTTCTGGATTTTCTGTTTTGTTCCATTGGTCTATCTATTTGTGTGCTAATACCACACTATTATAATTATTAAGGCCTCTTGCTATGTTTTAATATCTGGTAGGGCTGTTCCCACCTCGTAGCTTGTCTTGTTCAGTGTTTTCCTAGCTTTTACATATTTTTCCAAAAGCAGCAACTTGTTTAACTTCATAAAAAACTTGTTGGTATTTTACTGGGAGCATATTAGCTTTGTATATTAACTTAGAGACTGCTGACATTTTAATTTGATCTTGGTTAGGGTGTCTCAGCACAAATGTAAAGACAAATCTTTCTGTTTGTCTTATAGGAGTATTTTATAGTTTTCTTCTTACAGGTTTTGAACATATCTTAAGTTTATACTTAAGTATTGTATCTTTTTTATTGCTTTTATAAATGGAATTTTCTCTTTTAAGCATTTGCTTTATGAGTTTGGAAAAAAAATTATACTGCTCCTCCCCTCCCCCATCCCAGATATCTGTTCTCTCTTTTCTTCTTGTTCTTATAGACCCCTTTTATATAATTAAGGTAGATTGCTGGAGGAGATGATTATACTTCATATACCTCTAGATGGGTCTATGAACCAGATCTCTGTGAATATGTTAGGGACCAAGACTTGGGGCAAATCCAAGGTAGGTTTGAATTTATGCTGTTACTTAATGAGCTGTATCACTATCCATGTCAGCTAATTCACTGCTACCAAGGAAGAAGTACATGACCACTCAGCTCTCACGTAGATGTGCCATCCATTCTGCTACACTATGCTTAAGCTTAGTGGGTGAAAGCAAAACAAATAAATAATGGGAGTGCTAGTTTGATTTAAGTGTGGGGGTAAGAAGAGCTGATGGACCCCTGTTTGCTAGATCCTCACTATTTGCTAGTGACTGAAAACTTCTGGCTTAGTATAGCCTCATTGATTACAATGAGAGTAAAAACACTTAACTATGATCCATCATAACACAGACTGTACTAAAATAGTGAAAGCGTGTATCAGTGTTGCTTTGGAAGGCCTCATTGAAGAGGAGGTATTTAAAGTGGGCCCTAAAGAATGAGTAAGAGTTTGCTAGATGCGTGGGGCAGTCAGGGCCGAGAACTGCTGGAGAAAATGGTTCAGAGGCTGTGAAAAGATCCATGGAGAGGTCAGGCATTGGGCTATTCATTTTGACTGGAGTGGTGGATGAAGGTTGGCAGGGACTGGGATGCAGATGGATTTGGAGATGGTGTGGCTTACTAAGGTAATGATGTGCCATGATAAGGAATTGAAGTTTTCTCCTGGACATCAGTGTTTCTCACACTTGGTGGTGAAGTGCCAACAGCATTGTAGGCTATGATTTTGTGTGTCATCTGCTAAGTTCCTTGTCCTATAAACTTGACAGATAAGGTTTCTAAATAGTTTATCAGGATATGACTGTACTCACTGAAGAATTATAAAATTTAGTGTTGATGTTCATTTTAATGTAGCAGGCCTTGTGTGCCCTCAGAAATTAATATTGTATTTTAATAATGTTTTATTATGGGTTGTCAGAAGGTGATAAAAACGAAGAAAAGTACTTTTGGGGTTCTGAGACTTTGTAGGATAGAAATGAAATGCATTCTTATAAAAATGTGATTCCTTTGTTTCCTTTGAGCATTTAAAAAAATCTGTTATTAGAGAATTAAATCTCCTTAATTTTATTTGGTCTTATTTTTGGCTTATAAATAGATACCTTTAAAAATCTGAGTAATAGTTTTAAGTTGATTAATTACACTTGATTTTTTGAAAACCAATTTTAAAAGGATTTCAAATACCAAATTAATGATTTTTTTGTGTTTGTTTTTGGGTCTGTGTTAACTACAGCTTATATATATCCATTTTTCAACTTAATGAAGTTAATCAGTCTTTTATGGTGCTCTTGGTTAGTGTTTTTATCTTCCCTTATGTATAATTCAGGGAGAAGTATAATTTTTTTTAAAGAATTGTATTCGGATAAGGGTATTTATGCAACTTTCAGACAGGAGCTTAGTCATAGCCATGGAATGTAGTGAGCAATATGAATTATAAAGGATGTGAACCATCTTTAAAATGTAAATGCATGGTTATGTCTACCAGCAAATCCATTTTTATAGTCCATACATATTTGTTAAATATTAGTTATTGAATGAATACAAATATTAAGTTTAAAAATTGCAAATCCAAAATGGGAACAAAACATTTTATGGCTCTATAAGGTATTTTCAGCTTTATGTATTTCATTCTGAGTTATATTTCTTGGTGTTTCTGTGTTAACTTTGATATACTTCATACCCTGTTTATATTTGCAAAACTATTAATATCTCCGCAAAGGAGTCCTGAAGTTTTCCTTTCTGCAGTACCACCTTATATATAGTTGACACTCAGGATGTGTTGATTGAACGACCATTCCGCCATACTTTTCAAACATGTTCTGTTCTCTGAAAATGCCTTGTATTTCCTAATTATAGTCATCATAGTCTCATATATTTCCTGCCTTTCAACTGGCAGTCTTGTATATAGAGCATAACCTTCCTAAAAATTTGTGTACTGGGTACTGTGCCATTGAAAAGAGGGAATGATTAACTTGTAAGAGGTGCTTCTTAGAGGAGCTGATGTTTGAATGAGCTGTAAGGATGATGAGTACCTGGCAGAGAAGGACAGGTGAGGACAAGTGAGGCACAGTATACAGTGTGGAAAGAGATCTGAAGTCAGATGAGGGCACATGTGGGCTTTGGGAAAGGGATTCCAAAATGTAGGTTATACCCTGCACAGCTCTGTGGGCACTGCAGATTGTGTGAATGGCAGAATACAGTTATATATGTATATATATATATATGTGAGGAAATTTTGGTAATTTATCATCTTCTTCCTTAAAGGTCAAATTGTTTGTGTCATATGGTAGGCTAAAAGAGCTAACTCATGAGACACTTTTTATTTCGGAAAATATTTTTTTTTTTTTTGAGACAGAGTCTCACTCTCTTGCCTGGGGCGAGTGCCGTGGCGTCAGCCTAGCTCACAGCAACCTCAAACTCCTGGGCTCAAGCAATCCTCCTGCCTCAGCCTCCTGAGTAGCTGGGATTACAGGCACGTGCCACCATGTCCGGCTAATTTTTTCTACCTATATTTTTAGCTGTCCAATTAATTTCTTTCCATTTTTTGGTAGAGACGGGGTCTCGCTCTTGCTCAGGCTGGTCTCGAACTCCTGAGCTCAGAACAATCCGCCCACCTCGGCCTCCCAGAGTGCTAGGATTACAGGCGTGAGCCACCGCGCCCGGCCCGGAAAATATTTTTTAAAGGGCTTTTTTCCCCCAGTGAAGAACAAAAAATTTTTTTAACCACAAACACTGGGATTTAAATCACATGAAAATGAATGAACTAGATCTCAAGAACTGCATAGTCCTGGGAATCAGCAGTCTTCCTCTAATTCTTAAATGCCTTTACAATGTTTTCATTTTATTGTCATCGTAGAGTAAAACAAAAAAAGAAATCATAGTTTGGTCTTCCTGTTATCCATCTCTCAACCAGTTGTTCAAGTATGTTTTTTTGACAGCATCACTTGAAGAGATGTACCTTCTTTAACCTGGCTGCCACTTTTAACCCCAAAACAAACCTAGGCATATCTGTTATATAGTAAGCACTTTTCCCAGTTTTCCACCATTCATTGAGCTTCATCCTTCAACAGGATTTTTGAAACTGACTTAGAACAGTTTCGTTTGCTTGATGTCTGGATAAGCAGTGCTTTGTGGTAGTGAGGTGCCTGGACTTTTGGAGCTAAGCTGCTGGGGCAGAATCCTGGCTTAGCCACTTACCAGATTTGTAACTGGGGGGAAATCCTCTCTTGCTGCCTTAGTTGCTTCATTGTAAAATGGGCATAATATTACCTGTATTATAAAGTTATCATGAGGCTTAAATGCATTAATACATGTATAGCACTTAGAGTGGCACCTGGCATGTAGGAAGCACTCTGTGTGCTATTTTTACTTTCATTATATTTTCATTACATTGCTCCTAGCTAAACTTCCCTTTTCCCCGTTTTTTTGCCTTCAAAACAATTTTAGATATTTATCTTCACTATGTGTGATTGATTTTTAAAAATCACTCCCAGTGATGGTTTAAGGCAGTTAATGCTCAACAGTTTTCTTTCTCAAGAAATACCAAGGTTTAGAATCTCTTTGCATCTCTACAGTGATAAAATCCATGTTATGAATAAGCCTCTAAGTTCATCCTGTTCTCTGTAGGTTGACTCTGCCTTCCTACTGACTCATTAATTGTGGCTGGGCAGTGCTTTGATTTCCTCTCCCTTAGTGTGCTAGTGAACCTCAATGATAACCAGGTCATTTGCAGCCCTGGGAGATTTCAGGTTCTGAATTTCCTTTGTGATTTTGCGTTTTTAATTGACTTCAGACTTTCATGTAGAGCATTCTATTTTCAATCTCCATCCATCTTTCTCCTTGGAAATATACCTACTTGGAAATACTAAAATCACAAAATCTACCTGGTTAAAAATACTGCAATTACAGATTATTTCCACTGAACTACCACTGTAGTCTTTTCTGAAATATATTCCTTGGGATATTAATATATTTTATAGTAAAAAAAAAAAAAAAGGACTCTAGTCAAAAATATATTTTGGAACTAGCAGGGCAAACAACATTCAACATATGTATTTTCTGTTTTACTTTTTAGACTTTTTCATGTGCCAATGTGAATCCCTATGAAGAGTACATAATATTTGACAGTTCTGAAATTTACTTATCCTTGGGGTCCTTTTGTACAGTTAGGGTTCTTTGGGAAATGCTGAACTGTTATCATCTTGCACTCCTCCCACTCCATGCCTCTGTCTCATTTCTTTCTAGTCCAGCCTCAACATGATTACCAGAGTGATTTTTGGAAGGTTGGGGCACATGTAAAGCCTTTTTTTTTTTTTTTAACCAGTCGAGCTTTGATTAGTTTCTCCCAGATACCTTCAGAGTTTTTGGTCATCTTCTTCCACCAGTGTCTGGGTCTTCTCTGCTCCTGTACATGTTGCACAGGCTTGTAATGCCCTGTCCCCATTACCTCTTCTCTGAAATGCTTTCTGTGATTCTACAAGAGATTTAGTATGACTGTTCCCTTCTCTAATGTGAGATGATTGTTCTGTTTAATTTGTTGAAAATACTGGCTGGGCGCCATGGCTCCTGCCTGTAATCCCAGCACTTTGGGAGGCCAAGACAGAAGGATTGCTTGAGGTCAGGAGTTTGAGACCAGCCTGAGCACCATAGGAAGACCCCGTCTCTACAAAAAATAAAAAAAATTAGCTTGGTGTGGCGGCATGTGCCTATACTCGGGGGGCTGAGGCAGGAGGATTGCTGGAGCCCGGGAGTTTGAGGTTGCAGTGAGCTACGATGGTACCACTGCACTGTAGCCCAGGCAGCAAAGGAAGATCCTGTCTCAAAAAAGAAAGAAAATACTTGTTGAGCATATAATTTCTGTGAGATATTAAATGGAGGTTGTTAATATTAAACTGATAGAAATCATTTGGAAAAATAATTAAATTTTTATATGTATCTTTGCCTTTTTATTTTCTTTCTCTAGTGTTCTTTTGAAGATGAGGACATCCGTTCCTTATTTAAGTCTTTAGAACTGGAACTACAAAAGACAGTGCATACATACTGTGGAAAAATTTACAAAATATTTATCAAACAACTAACAAAAAGCATAGGAGATCGTTATGACAGACCGCCAAAGGAAAGGTGATTCTTGGTGACTGCTGAATCAAGTGGATGAAAACAACAAAGTATCAGAGGATTAATGTGAAGGAATAGTCTCAGATGAAGTATTCAGAAAGGAATTATTCATCTCCAGAATAATTTTTTTCCTAAAGAAGTTAAATGGGCAGTATATTCATGTAGTGAAGAATAAGTTAAAATCTTGGGCTCCCGCAAGAAACATTTTTGATCTCTGATGTTTTATAATGTTACTTGCTATCATTCCAGTATTGATTAAAATATAGAATGGTTTTGGCCTGCAGACTTCTGTTGACTCTTACTCTCAAGTGAGTAAGAGCGGTGGGTCTGTATGGATGGAGAAAATGTACCTCATACACAGTGGAAACACTCAGACTGTGAGTATAGCAATAATTTTATGTCAGCACTAACCTCACTTGAAATGTGTGAGAAAAAAGATGTTTACAGGAGCAGAAAAGGTTCTGTTTCTAAAGAAATGTGATGTAACCATTGACAATCTATGTGTGCCTTTATACATTTCATCTCTGAAAATATTTTTGTGACAATCATGTTAAAATTATTTTTAGATTATAAGTAAGCTGCATGTTAAAAATTGAGCTACATAAGAAAGAGGAAAAATAGTGGAAACCTTGGGGTTTTAATCTGTGTGTGTGTGTGTGTGTGGTGTGTGTGTGTGTGTGTGTGTGTGTCTATGAGGGTGTATGAGAGGGAGAGAATGCAGTGTTTTCATTTTGTATGTGTTAAACTGTCTTGCCAAAACTCAGATCTAAGATTGTTATTAAATAGATATCTGGGGAAATTTTTTATCACTTTAAATGAAAATTTTCAGCTTTACTGGGCATTCTGGAAGCAAAATCTATTATGCTGATAAAGTAAAAACCTTGATAGTATACTAATATGGTGGTGGAAAATGCGATAGACCAAAATACATAAGCTATATACTGCCTGTGATCAGTAATTTTAGTTACAACAGAGTAGAAAAACGTGTCCATTTAAACTTCTACCTCGTGATGGCTTTGCAAGATATTTTTGAAGAATCAAATGAATAGAGCCTTACTTTATGTTAGACAACTTTGGTAGATGATTTGGATTAAGAAGATTGTTACATCTGACTATAAAAAAAAGTGGTTTTGATCAGGTTAATGTGAATATCTTTCTTTTTTGAGCATCACTTAAGACAGTTAATATTTCTACATCTTGAAGATGAGAAAAATATTACTTCTCTTGGCATTCTTGACCTGCTGTCTAATATAACTATAGATTTTGAGTTCTTAGCATGTACTGTACTGGGGCACATAACTCATTTTACTGATTGCTATATGGTTATTCACCTTTTCTCTCTTTGATCTTTTAATGCTCAAATAGAGAAGGGAAAATCATGAAGGAAAAATACCACTCGTGAAAATTGTGGCAGTTGTCTTTGTGAAACATAGTGCCCTCTGCAGAGACATGGAATATACAGAAAGAGATGGTTAGTACAGTTGGCGCGTCTTCTGCAGTTCAGCCAGGGACAAATTGAGAGAGAAAGGTTTAAGAAGGGCAGATTGGAAGTTGATGACCGGCCCAGTACTCTTAGAACAGATCAGTTGGAGAACATGAGCTGTGCTTCCTTTGCAGAATGCCATGGTGAATATAGGAACCTGTGAACTGTGTTGAAATTGAGCTTGCTCAGTAGAAAATGAGAATCCTAAAATTTTGAAGTTTGCAGGGTGTATATAAGATCATGTCTAGTGGTTCACAAATAAGACCATTGCCTGCTTGGCTATCTAAGATTCTTATTGGGAGCTTGTTAAGAATAGATATTGAGCGTCGTCACCCTTTGGAGACTGGTATATTATGTCTAAGATGGGGGTCTGCAAAAAAATTTTTTGACAAAGAGATTTAAAAATTATGCAAAAGTAGAGTAGTGCATTGGTACTGAACATCCAGATATAACATCAGTATCTTACCATATTTCCCTCATCTATCCCCTACCCTTTTTTTTTTTTTTTTTTGGTGAAGTATCTTAAAATCCCAGACATTGTGTTATTTCACTGCTGTGAACATTTTGGTAACGACAGTTGACATAATACTCAACAAAAGTAGCAGCAGTCCTCTAGCTTCATCTCATATCCAGTCCTTAAGCAAATTTCCCTGATCGTCTCCAATATACCATCTTTAGTTGGTGTATTGGAATCAGGTTACAGAAATAAGTTACATTATGATTCTGTTTTTAATAATCACTTCAGATGATTTTGATATTAGCTAGTTTGGGAACCACTGGAAGTTATTTTGCCAACTTGAAAGTTGAAGTTAGGACGCCACAATTCTTGGCACGGTTGGTGTATTATAACTGATTTTGAAATAGAGGACGCACTTGGGGTTGTTAGCAAGATACAAATTTATATGAGTAAGTTCCTTAAGATTTAATTTTCTCAGTGAATGGAGAATCTCAGCCCTGTGGGCTCTATGTGATTGATTGGGCACTGTGTTGAGTGTGGTCATAGTTTAATCCAACTGGACTATATTCTGTGGTCTCAGTCGTGTTGTGGCTTATTTACATTGTTACATACTCTGCTTGGTGGATCTTGGGAAGGTTCTTCATCTGGTCTGTTAAGACTTGACCTAATTGATCATTGTACCATAAATTAGATAACAGTGAAAACTTTCTACTTAGGGACTGTATTTCACCTAAAATTAAGGGCGTCACCATGTCTATAACAATTTTCAAGTGGATTTTCTGAATTTATCTTTAGACAAGGTAACTTTTTCCTTGAGAATTCTAAAGAGATGCAGTTCTCAGAGTTAACGAGGTTAAATTGTAGATGGACAACTTGGAGAACATGTTACATTGTTTTTTAATATAAATGGCCTTTTATAAAAAATAGTATATCTATGCAGTTTATATAAACTGCATTATGTATCTTTGAGTCTATGTGTTAGAACAAGTCTGACCTCAGAACTGTCTCTGGGCTACAGTATTACCAAAGTGGGATGACTTTATAAGGTAGTCAAACTTTATTTGTTTGAAGTAGAAAAGAACTTGGAAACCTTTAGAAAATATATATTGTCATTTACATTTTAAGAAAATACATCCTTTTTTTTTTTTCTTATGAAGAGTAGTTCATAATGTATAAAGCTAACCACTTTAGAGTCTGAGATAAGGTTACTGCTTACTCCGTGCTCTGTCGTCTCGCCTCCGGTCAGATGGTATTGGTGTAGTGAAAAGAAGACCAGATGGTGAAGTAGATCTGGATTCTCTTCTTAGTTAGGGACCTGAGGCATGTTACTTCACCTTCTCTGTGCCTCAGGTTTTTAAGTACAATCATGCCCTTCACCTCACAAGATGAGACTGAGAAGAGAGAATGGGTTTGGAAGCATTCTGCAGGGCTTCCCTGTGCCACTCCAGTGTTACTGTTAACGTTCTGTTTTGCTCTGCTGTCTCCCGTGCAGCTCTTTCTGTTTCTGGACTTGTTTTCTGACATATATCCCCAGTATGAATTTGTTTACATTATGTAAGGAAGAGTTTTTCAGGAAGAGAAAGTAGAGAAGAAAAGAATGATGTAACCGAATAATCAAAAAAGAAGGAAAAGAGAGGAAGTGAGAAAAGGAGAGAAGAAAGAGAAGGGGAATTAGAGTGAGAATGGCAAAAGGCAGAGTAAGAGAAAAGATGGAATGAGAGTGGGAAAATCGAGAAGGAGAGACGGAGAGAAATGGTGTGGAAACATTTGCTTTTTGAGTTGTCGCCCCTCACCCTATGTCAAGGTCTGCCTGCCTTGGCCCTCCAGGGCCAGGAAAGGTGCTGGCTTCATTTGGTTTGTTGATACCAGAGGTGTTTCCTGATCACCCTACTCACTGATCATTTAGTACTGATTCAACACTTTATATTTTTATTGGATCTCAGTTAGTGAGCTAGGACCTGTGAAAACACAAGTGTCTTCCTTTTTAACTTTTTCCTTTCAGCCATCCTAAATGTTGGATCATGCGAGACTAACCACTTACTCACCAGGGGAGGTGGGAGGTGGAGGCCACTGCTCTGTCAGGTCTGAAGGGTCCCAGGAATCAATTGCAGCGGGCCAGGTTTGGGAATCACTGCCCTGCCTTGAATGGCAAATTAAACAATAAACCACATCTATTTATTCCTCAGTAGGGATAACTTTCAGTTGCACCATGAAGAGTAGATTAGAACAGGAGACAGCAGAGATACATTAAAAGGAAAAAACCTTGAAAGATATTATTCATTCTCTTATTTTTCAGATGTTTGTATTTAAGTAATTAATACCTTAATAGTAATCAGAAGCTCTTTGAGATGTTTTTAGAAAGACCACTGATTTATTTTTTAAAAGAACTTTATTGGTTCCTTAGGGTAGAGAAGAAAAGTAGAGGTGCAATATGTCAGGTGTGGGGCTAGTTATCCATATATTAAATGCAATTTCAAGTGTCTTAAAACAATAATTGCCTTATTGCATTTTAATATCTAACAAAAGTAGATTAAATAATGACTTGTACTGTAACAGTTATTTTGTACATTGCCAAAGCAACCCTTTTTTGCCAATTAAAGTCTGGCTAAACTGTTCTAGTGTTTGTTTCTTAATTCATTGATCATGAAACTAGACTTTTAAAACTAAATTATGTAAACTTAAGATAGAAGTCTAAAAAGTGGTACAAGAATATTCTTTTTTAAAAAAAGCTAAAAATGAATATGTTATTTAAATATCTAGCAATTATAGAATCATAAGAAAAACAGAAAAGCATATTGGACTGGGAAATTTTAAATTGCAAATCAATGTCAAATTTACTTTTAAATGGGAAATATGTATTATCATCTCCTTTCTACCAGAAATTCCAAATGTTTAATGGTATTTCTTTAGGATTTACTATAAACTCAGTTTTCAAACAGAAGAAAGCCTTTGAAAAGGTAAGAAAACTATTTAATAGAAATGAAAAAAATTCTCTTACTACTAATACTGTGAATACTATTTGGAGGTGCTGTGATCAGAAATTTTAACATCAAACTCAAGAACTAATACGGAGCTTTTGATTATATTTAGTTTATAAACACAATCTGAATATGTGAACATATTCACACACATAGCACCCCCTTGTAAAAATTGGTGAAGAAAACGCAACAGTGTATAGTCTATTTAAAAAGTAAATTGACTTTGATTATGAAAAATAGCTGTTTTCAACCTTTGTATAAAATCTTTTCAGGGAATATTGGAATTTTTTTATGCCAAAAAAAAAAAAAAAATCCAGGGCTTGTAGTGTATGTAGAATATGTCATTCATTCAAAACATAGCAATATACATCACATGCATTGTCAGCAATATTGGAGAGCTGGACCAATGGTTTTTGATGGATACTATAACAGATCTGTGAAGGAGATGGTTTGCACCTGTTCTTGAAATCAGAAACTGGAAAAGGTTGCAAGGATTTTAATTTTCCCAATATTTTGCATTAAAATAATATTTTAAGTAGTAATATTTCTAAAGCTGCAGGAAGGCATCGTTGTACTGTGATACGTAGAGAAAACTATGCTTAAACTGCTTTTTATTTTAAAATATTT